CGGAGTACAAAATAAAAGATTTGTACATGAAAGTAGTTACATGGTTTGCACTCATAATTTAAATATGTTTTTTAGAAACATATCAACATATGTAAAAATATATAGGTAATTCTTTTTTTCCAAATTCATTTGATAAATGAAATATTAATGAATTTGATCAATTTCGGGTCTAATCGGTTTCGGGTCTAATCGGTTCCGGGTCTAATCGGTTCCGGGTTTAACCGGGTTTGGGTTTAATCGGGTTCGGGTTTAATCGGTTCGGGTTTAATCGGTTCGGGTTTAATCGGATTTGGGTCTGAATACATTCGGTTCGGGTTCGGTTCAGTTCGGATCATTTCGGGCGTTCGGTTCTATTTCGGTTCTTCAGTTTTCGGGTCAAATCGGGTACGGTTCCGGGTTATTCGGTTCGGGTTATCGGGTCCGGGTCAGTTTTGCCAGGTCTAGTCACCATCATGGTCGTCGTCATCATCATCTTTAAAATTGTTTTCAGAATAGCCCAAATTCTCACTCCCATCTACAAGTTCATCATCACTATAATATCCTTCCACGCCCGCTTCTTCCTCACTCTCTTCATCATCAGTAGGATAAACTGATTCTAGTTTCTCGTATAGTTCCTCATCTCCATCATCTTTTACACTATTCATTTCTTCAATTTCGGTCTTCAGCCGTTCCACTCTTTTTTTAACAACTTCAATGTGTTTCAGGACAGCCTCACGCCTCTGAAGTTCAACAGAACGTGCCAAGGCTTTCCTCTTTGTTAAAAGAGTTTTAGGGCGAATGGTAGAAGGACGCTGATAGCCCTTGCCTCTAAACACAATTATGGAATACCCCTTGGATACTTTGTGCACTGAAACCAATACGCCGCCACTCTCTGCCTCTAGGGCTAGGGCAATACTTTTCACTTGTTCAATGCTCTTAGCTTTCACAATGATCTTAACCAACTCTCTGTATTTCCAATGCAGGTGCATGTTCTCCACAGTGCCACTGAAAACCCCCACGCCTCCCTGAAATAAATAAATAAATAAATAAATAAATAAATATATATATATATATATATATATATATATATATATATAAAAGAAAAGAAGCAAATGGAGAGAAAAGATGAAATTAATGTGAATTCATTTAGTACTCCGTACTTTAATTTTTTTAAATTTCTAGAAAAATATATTATTGTGAATTTTGGGATTTTATATCAAATTTTGAACATTGATTTCATTTTTTAGCCTATTAAACATATATATGGTTGGCAATAAGTGTTTGCCTGTAATTGAATTTGCATGCAAGTGTTGTTCAATTTCCTTGGTAAGAAAAACTTATTTTTGTGGTGTACAGATCTTTCATCCTTAATTTTTTTTAACCTTTTTTAACCTCGTGAAATTTCAAAGCCATTGTTTAGTGTTCTCTATAATAATTATGTGCTGAAAAACTTGCAAAATTATATGGTACATCCAGCTGTACCTTCCTTTAGGTACAGCCTGGTATTTTTGTAAATTTTGCAAACTTTTTATCCAATGCCCAGAACATATATGAGAACTATTATATATGACAATGAGTACCAGCAGATTTGAGAAGGAGTACCAGCACTTATGAGAATTATCATATTCCTATTCAATACAAACATGAATAAACCTGGGTTTTAAATTCTCTATGCTCAGAGAGTATAAATGAGTAGGAACGAATCGAATAGAGGAAGAAGTTGATGATGGTATTTAACTTTTTAATTGTGAAAAAATTGAACAATACTTTATTTCAGAATGAACATTTCCTTATTTGAGAACGAGTATTGTTTTTTTAAGAATGAACACTACGCTATTTATTATAATTATATTCGACAAATGTGTAAAAATGAGTTCTTCTTTATTTTAAAATGAGTACTACCTTTGTTAGAATGAGTACTACATATTTCGAAATGAATGTTTATATTTGTACGAGAATGAGTACTACTTTATTTCAGAATGAGTACTACCGGGATGTACCTATTTCTAGGTACATCCGGATGTACCATATACCAACTCCATTGTACTACACTATTACAACTTTGACTTCATTAGATTGCAGCTTTGACACAACATTAGACACAACATAGGATGAAAGGAGATGAAAATGAAGTAATTGATACTCCGTATGTCACAACCTAGAAAAACAATGAACTCCAAGAAAAAGCAGCATGAACTAAAATAAATATAACAACATAGGATGAAAGGAGATGAAAGAGAAATTTACCTAAATAGGACTAAAACATAATGACTTTCCCAATATAGGACCATATGTTTTTATTTTCCAATGTAGGACTTTTGGTCATTATCAAATAGTCATTATTCAAGTAAATGTCCATCATTACTGGACATTATTCTTCCCACTAGGTCATTATTAAGTCCTATTTAGGAAATAAAAAAGTTTAAGTCATTATGTTTTAGTCCTATTTAGTGCAAATTTTACATACGGAGTATAACAATTCAGTTATAAATCCCAAATGCAAAGAAGAAACATCTAAATAGCTCCCAAAATTGTAAGAAAATAGAACTAATAAGTAGGGAATAAGAAACTCAAAGGGAAAACAAATAGTTCAAAGATTCGGACCTGTTCGATGGCCGTCGTCAATTTCGGTCAGGCGAAGGTCAGATTTCGACCTTCGCGTTCGTTGCAGATGGTCGGCACCTGCGTCGAGTTCCTCTCCTCCGTCGACAAAAGCTCAGCCGCGAGTAGGTTTCGAAATCCTCAGCCTTCCGTCTCCAATCCTCCTCAGCCTTCCATCCCGTCGTCCTCAGCCTTCCGCCGCGTCCAATTCCTCTCCCAGTCTCCCGTTCCTCAGCCTTCCGTCGGTTTTTTCCAGTCTCGGTTTTTTGGATAGATTGTGCAAAAAACTGCTGCGGGGTATCTCATGTTTTATTGTAAGAACTGCCAGGTACCTATATTTTTCAAAATATACTCTCAGATACCCTAGATTTTGAAAAAAATATACTAAGGAGAGATTTTCCGTCCCCTTTCCGTCTTTCCCTCTTTCTCCGTTACATTAATGCACCATCATCATCATCCATCATCCATCATCATCATCATTACACCACCACCATCCTCATTCCTTCGTTTTTCCTCTTCTTCTTTTTCCTTTTCTTCTTCTTCTTCTTCTTCTTCTTCTTCTTCTTCTTCTTCTTCTTCTTCTTCTTCTTCTTCTTCTTCTTCTTCTTCTTCTTCTTCTTCTTCTTCTTCTTCTTCTTCTT